GGAGAGCACCGGAGTTGAGCCTTTTTTTCATTCAGTGTCGTCAACAGGAAGAGAAAAAGGCCGAACAAATAATAAAGCCGATAAATTAAAATGAGGTCGATAAATTAATTCATCGTGCGATTAAGTGATTTATTGTTTATCGTGACAGGCCTATAATCAATCACAATGATTTTCCTGCACCTCCAACCACTGTCCACACAACGGCTCCATAGTCCCATCTCCACTAATGACCGAAGGGCGGGGCAGAGAATGCTTCTGTGAAAGTTGGAAGTCCATAAAGTCATGAGCAGGAGTCACCTTCACTGCACCTACAAAGTTAATACAAACAACAGGTATTACTCCACAAAATCATATATGATTTAATGCTCTTTGGCTCAGACACGACTCCACTTCCTGCAGAGGCTGAGAAGAGCCAACCTCCCTACATCTGCTCTCACCACCTTCTACAGGGGAGCCATTGAGAGCATCCTGACCAGCAGCCTCCCTGTCTGGAACCGCAGCTGTCAGGCTGCAGACAAGAAGGCACTCCAGAGGGTGGTGAGGACCGCAGAAAAGCTCATCAGATCACCTCTACCGGCCATTCAGGACCTTTACACTTCACACTGTTCCAAGAGAGCAATGGACATAAAGAGAGACTCCTCTCACCCAGCACACACACTGTTCTCCCTGCTACCATCAGGGAAGCGCTACCACAGCTTGCAGTGTCACACAAGCAGACAGGGAAGCAGCTTCTTTCCACAAGCCATTAGACTCAGCAACACATTGAAGTAAACTAATGAACATTTCATAGACATTTCTTTCACACAACACTTGCACTTTACTTTTTGCACCTTGCATACAGCATCTACATTACCTGTATGTCCACTGATTATACTTCTGCTGTTATGTGTGTGTGTGTGTGTGTGTGTGTATTGTCCATCATTATGTTAGTCTTCTTATTGCAGTGTGTGTGTTTGTGTTTATTGCACATGTCTGTATCAGTGTGAGGGTGTGTGTGTTTGTGAGTGAATGTGTCAGAGCGAGAATGTAAACTCGTATCAGTATGTTAGTTTTTACTGCACATTGTGTGTGTGTGTGTGTGGGGGGGAGGGGTTACTGTCAATGTCTCATTTATATGTTTAGTTTAACGGCACATTGGAGTTTGGTGAAATGTAATTTCAAACTCCTGTGATTTTTGACTATAAAGTACGCTTGACTTGACTTTGTTTGGTGAAACTGTTGGGATGTTTTCACACCTGATAGTTTGGTAGACTCAGTTTGATTGGGGACCAAAATTGCAACATCAGCTACATTCTTAGCTGGTGTGGTTTTCACACTGCACTGAGTCAAACAATCCAAATTAATTGAAAAACCTGTTCACCCCCTGACCTTTGGTGGTGCTGCACCAAAGCTACTGAAGGAAGGAAACAACACAAAAACCTACCAGGAAAACTACTGCAAATTTCCTCTTCACAAAGTGTAAACTAAAATGGAGAGGCATCAGATCAGTTGTAGGATTTCTCTCTGTAGCGCTAGATTTGTTTTGGCTCTACTGACCCAGAATGCCCTGTGCTATAGTTTGCTTCCTGCTTTTGGAGTGTTCTCTGGTTCACTTGCATCCACATATATAGATTTGAAAAATGCCAGGTTTCACTCCAACTGAACTGAGCCAGGTTTGTAAGTTCGCTTTTCTGGTCCATAGAGTTCAATTACGCATTCACACCTCCCCAAAAGAACTGGACTTTGGAGACAATCGAACAAGAGTTACATTTAAACCTACTAAACAGGTAGGAGTGAATGCACACTGGTACCTGTTCCCATATCCATGTCCACCATTGTATCTGTGATGATGGGGATGAGCTTGTTGGTGAAAGGATGTTTACACAATAGTCCATGGAAAGTCTAAACAGAGAGAAAGATGTCCATTATATCAATTTGTCAATAATGATTAGGAACTCCTAGCTTGGTTTCAATACACATATAAAGCAGGCAAAGTGGTAAAAAGACTAAAACGGGGGCAGAGTTCAGACGGGTCCAGCCTGGAGAGTCCAGGCATGGCGCAGTAAAGAGGTAATTCAGAGACTTCAAGCAGTTCATCAGGAAAAACTGTTCTTGTCCAATAACAATGTCTGTCAGAGTGTAGCTGAACTTGGACCACATCAGCAAGTCATCTGAATTTTATCTATTACAGTGGGAGCAAAGTGAAAATGTGGCTTTCAATTAATGTCAGTTTTATCAAATTCCTGTTAGACAAATCAAATTTACAGAATAAGAAAGAACTGAGAGTTAGTTTTAACTGCTTGTAATTTAGAACCTGTTAGACCTATCATTTAAAAAAAACTGAGTGTTGCTTACTTTCACAAATAGAATAAAATAAAATAGACTTTATTGATACCCAAAGGGAAATTGCTTATTCGTTGAAAAGCTACTCCATTCAAGGTATTAAATATTAATAATAAGTGATGTAAGTAATTAAATATGACTGAAAATAAATAAGCATGCACATGCAAATATGTTCATCTATGATCTATAGATGAGTGCAGATAAAATTAGATTTAAGTTACTCAGATTTGGGAACTGTAAAGTCTAATGGCTACAGGAAAATGATTCCCTGTGTTGCTCTGTGGTGAACTTTGGTACAATAAGTTTCTGGTTGAAGATGCTCCTGCAGCTGGGGGCACATCATGAAGTGGATGAGACTCGTTGTCCAAGACAACCTGCATCTTGGACTTGTCTCTGACACCGCTGTCAGAGAGTCCAGCTCCACTCCAACGACGTCACTGGCCTTGTGGATCAGTCTATTCATTCTGTTGGTGTCCTCCACCTTCAGTCTGCTGCCCTGCACAACACACAGGATGGCACTGGCAACCACAGAGTCATACAACAGGTCTGGGAGATGTTGAAGGACCTCAGAGACGACTTTGGCCCTTCCTCTACGGAGCGACAGTGTTCTTCACCCAGTCCAGTTTATTGTCAATGTGGAGACCCAGGTGTTTCTGATTCTCCACAATGTCCACACTGACCCCATGATGGTAACAGGAGTCACTGGCGTCTTGGTCCTCCTCCTGATATCCACCACTCATTCCTTGGTCTGTGTCACATTGAGCTGCAGGTGGTTCAGCCCACACCATGTGACAAAGCTGCCCATCAGCAGACCTGTACTCAACCTCATCACCCTCACTGATGCAACCACAGGTAGGTCATCTGAGAACCTCTGGAGGTGGCAGGTCTATACCGGGTTTTAAAGTTGTGTATATTCCAGTTAAGTCGCTGTATTTCTTTTTTAAACTTGTTCATTTGAGGATAAGTCAGTGGTGGGTAAACATAAATAATTTGGATGTTTGTGTTTAAATGTATGAAGTGATGTTCTACTGACATGCATGTGCATTAATGTAGTGACTGAAAAAGAGAAAAAAATATTTAAAAAATAGCTGAAAAAATAATAATTATAAGCAAAACAAATAATCGATGAGTGTGATTAAATTGATTACAAATTACTGAGAGGGGGAAAATCAAAATCAAAGAATTCAATACATCTTAAATGACATACTGAAAATGTTGAGCAGTTTAGAAAAGCCAGGGTGTAATTTTCAGAGACATTACTTTGTCGATGTCGTTTCATGACCGGTGCAGGATTTTGCATCGTTCATTAGTTTATTGTGGAAACTGGTTAAGTCTGAATGTGGTTCCAGTTTGGCGTTAGCTGGATGTGGGGCTTTGTATCCGATCCAAAACAATGAATGGGGAGGAAGGTAATCTGGTTATGAGAGTCGGGGGAAGTTTTGAGCCTTGTTGTCATGAATTCTTTTATCTGAACTTCTGGATTGTCAGATGACTTTTCAGGAACGCCAGAGAAAATCATAATGTCCTGCATGATTCTTGCTTGAATGACCAATGTCTTTCTTTCATGGTTTTGTTTTCTTGAATAACTAAGTTCATATCTTTTGCTAAAGTTTAGCTGGATCTTGGGGTGAATTATTGGAATGTCGGAGTTTTTAAATGGGATTATGCGCAAATTAAAGACTTAACCAAAGGTCTTTTATTTTGTTGCATAATGTCACAAGTAAATCCAGTTTTTTCGAGAGAAAACATGCAAAGTCCACACAGCAGTGACAGCAAAGATGCTGTGTTTAGCAACACAACTTCATATCATCTTGTAAGTAACTCACCTGATATCGAGGATCATCAGGGTGAACAGCTACAGCCACATCTCCAAGCATCGTCTCAGGACGAGTCGTGGACACTGCCACTTCACCATCTGACACACACACACACACACACACACACACACACACACACACGCACACACACACACATATATATGTAACAGGGTTTTAATATAACAATATTATAAATGTGAAGTTTGTCAAAATGTGTTTATTTGTTCTTTGAATTTATTTTTTTATGTTTCTTCAGACATTAATTTGTTTTAAATTCTGTTATGTTGCTCTTGTCAAGATGCCAGAGTAACCGGAAACTGACAGCTCGTCCCTTTTTTCTGTTGCTGTCTGTAACTTTGAGGACAGAAGCTGCTAGACTGACGATAACCACGAACTTCTCCATATGTCTGGCCCAAACATACCTATTTGTGAAATTCCAAAGGAAAATGTGTTTTGTTAATCTATGATCTGGGATATCAATAGACTTACTCCACAATCTGACCATGTCTACAATATATTTAACTTCACATGGTTCCCGACCCATTTCTCCATATAAAGTCATTTTAGGAGCATTTCTGTTCACACCTTTATTTCTAACTGAACCTCTTCAGTCTGACTGGACATTAATAACTTCTTCAAATGTAACATATTCATCCACAGTAAGTCCCAAATACTTATATGTTTTTGTAGCAGACAAAGTAGAAGGCCCAAAACTAAACGTAAACATGACACAGTTTTCTGAAATGAATAACTTGAGTTTAATCGCAATTTATCCTTGTATACCTTATATCCCTATGTATGCAGATATCTATGAGGTTATGAATAAATTGTGATAAAACTATATGCATTTTATGTGTGTATACCTCCATACCCATACACAGATCTATCGATCGATAGATCAACAGATATATTGATATTTTCAGATATCAACACAAAGCAGATGAAATTAAACACCATTGTTAATGTCTCCATCCACCAATACTCACCATGGCCTTCGACAGGATATGCAAAGGTGAACATTGTTCCAAATTCCACCTTATTCTCATATCCAGGGACAGACATTAAGGTTGGTCCAGAAACGTCCCTGGTCTCCACCTAAGACAAATGAACGACTTCAAGTTACTCTTTGGACAGAAAATGATGACAGAGTGTTCAATCTCAACTCAACATTTACACTATGTTGTGGAAATTTTCCTTTAACAAGGAGTGAGGTAAAACTGTTTCAAACCCAGAGAACCAGAGAAAGAACATGTTTTAATCAGTGTTTATTTGAAGTCTCTGCTCACTGATCGCAGTCAGGAGAAAGAGCAAACAAAACTTTAATAATCATAGTGACCTTAACATTTTCCACTGCAACTACATGAACAAAATAAAAGATGTTAACTTGTGAATGTAAATTATGAATTTGTCTGCTTTCCCTGCTGCTACCTAAAAAAATTGCATTTTATAATGACTGCACAGTTTCCACAGTTCAGCATTAAATAAATATTTCTGCATTCTGAATTTATCAACCTGAAAGAAATAATAATGTTCCTTTTCAGGGTCTTAGTCGATGACAAATGAGTTGCATATTAATATTATGAAACATCCAGTAAAGACAGAGCAAAACGTCTGATATAGAGAGTTTCTTACCTCGATGTCAGAGATTGCAGACTGAAGAGCACAGCTCCAGTTGACCAAACCGTCTGAGCGGTAAATAAGACCAGAGTCACACAGTCTGACAAAAGCCTCAGTTACAGCTCTGCTAAAACCCTGAAATCAGACAACAATAAGACACTGAAACAGGTTTATTTGGTAGACAAAGAAACAACATGCAAATACACATTTCTGTAGTAAATGGGTTTGCTGCTTCCTACACAAGGAAGAACAAAGACCTCTTAGTAAGTTGTCTGAAAAAAAACCCTGCCCACAACACAGCAGCTCAATCAACTGAAGTCAGCAGAGCTTCAGAAAATATTTGCATTTACAGTAAAAGTCAGTATTTGGTGTTAGTAGGAAGAAAACAAAACTGTTGATGAAAATAGTCTGTCAATGATAGAGACTGGGTTCCCTCATTAAATCCAGCCATCATCTTCCACTCAGCCAGGGTCTAGTCTCAGGCAGCAGACTAAGCAGAAGCCCAGACTTCCCTCCTCCAGGGGAACCGCAAGGCGTCCCCCAGTCCAGCAGACAATTCAGAGAGTCCAGCCTCTCTGAACGGAGAAGCAGTGGCAGAGCTTCTCTCCGTATCTCCAGGGGAGAGTCCAGACACCCTTTCAGGCGCTTGTATCCACAGTCCCATTCTTTTGGTCCCAAAGCGTGACAGTAGATGAGGGTAGGAATGTAGACTAGCCAGTAAAACAAGAGTTGAAAGGATCACCACGACAACGATACAGCGACTGCATCACAGCTTTTGTTGTGAAGGGTTTTGTTTTTCTTGCAACCTCACACTGTAGGGATAGAGTGTGACTCATGGTTTCTTTTCCCACCTCCTCATAACGTCATGTTTCCTTTTCTGAATTAATGAAAAGGGCAGAGCCTCTGACAGCTGAGGCCCCAGGCACCCGTCTTCCCTGGTTTTGTTTTGTGATTCTGCCGTCGTTGGATGCAAGTGGGTGTTTGTAGTCAATTAAATAGTATGACACATATTTAATTGGCATCATACTATTTCATACTATTTTGTTTCTCCAGGATGCCAGACAGATGCAAATTTTACACCCAAACATTTTAATCACTGGGTGATGATGTCACATGGTAGGAATATATGTGACTAAAAGCCTCACCGGATCCATCGTGAAACAGGCTCTGCTCCAGTCCAGAGAAGCACCAAGCCCCCTCAGCTGGTGATAAATCTCTTCTCCTTTCCTGGGACACAGGAGAAGAGGTCAGGGAGACGGAAGCAAACACTGAGCACATCATTCAACCAAACTGGGCAACACTTTATTTGAAGGGGTGGCAAAGAAGGTGACATGACGCAACACATGTCACGAACATGAAGGAGTCTTCATCAGTGTTCATGACTGCTGTCATTAACTGTCATTCTGTAAATAATGACACAAAGTTGACATTGTTTAAAATGTCTTTGTTGACACGAACCAAGAAGTTATAATTTGTCCTATATACATTACGACATGTATTAATTATCAAACTTTAAAAAGTTATGTAGCTTTATGTGTTAATATTAAATTACTGTTCATTTGTTGCCAGCTTTGACTTCATTCATCTAATTCATCCCACAGTATTTCAGCAACGTGTCTACAAAGCGCTTATGAACTCTGCATTTGAAACACGACATTATTTAAGGCTGTTTATCTCCACCAGACAGAGGCAGCAGCAGACCACCAGTCTGCAGTCTGCCAAAAATATCCACAAGTCTTTACGGCCCTCCGTCTGACCCCGAGATCCGACAGGGTCAGACGGACGGGTCACCAAAAAACCGTCGTAAACATTCATGGAGGCTCCATGTTCCTGCACACCCCTTCAAAGTAACTGTTACCCCAAACTGGTTTGAAGAAATATCAAAAAATAAGATTTACTCATTTTTCCATTTCCATACTTCCTGTAAGAATTCTTCTCTAGTGAAATCTTGTCTGCGCTTCCCTTTGTCCCTCAGAAGTCGTCTCTCCACCACCGTCTAATGCACAAAAACACATTTACTGCAGTGAGGAAAACGCTGCAGCATAGAGTACATGTTCCAAATGTTTCAACAAACAAAGATATAGCAAACCTGACCAAGGTTTAGAATATGATGAGTTAATATGTCAAGCCAAATTATAAATGTGTGCAGATCAGCACAGAGCTAGAATTTTGCAGGGAGTCATCAGGTCTCTTTGCCAGTGGGAATATATTCCCAGGCATCACGGGGTTTTGTTGTTGTTTAAGGAAATCCTGAACCAATTCATTTTGTACTTTATTTTCAAGTTTCTCTGTGTCAGAAGCAGAGTTGTTTTAGTCAAGATCTATAGAAATACGACATTTTCAGGGCCCTGTACTGATTTATCATTGCTGCCAAGTGGTAGTAAAAATTATTAGTACGTTTTCATTTATTCTTTTTCAAGGAATTTAGAAAAAAAAAACTGTTTTCTTGTAGTTTTATTTTAATTGCCTTGTTATTGTTTTCATAGTAATGTTCCAATTTAAAGCACATAAACAAATTAAATAACATCTGTAAGTTTGTCTTAGGTTGCCGAGACATTTCTAAGGCTTTATGACTCAGTCAAATCACAATGGAAGGCTTTATCCAAAATAGGAGGAACATTTGTGATCTTTCCTACATGTGACCAGGATACCAAATATAAGTATTAGTTGCTTTTGTAAATCTCATCATGTTTATGTTCATATTGTATTTATTTGTTGTTGGATTTTATCTCAATGTACACGCTCAGTGACAAATTCTAACTCTATCCTTAAAACAACCTGACAAACGCCATGAAACAACTGCTACGACACGGAGAGTCTCCAGGCTGCAGACATACAGTCTTGCCCTGCTGCCACTTCAATATTTGAAATTTCCTCCATTTTCTCAGCATCAGAGTCGACTTCTTGTTACAGATTGGATGGAGTAGAGACTACAGACTGTGCAAGTAGTGTGGCGCCTTAAGGAACATGAGCGAAACCTACATTTACAGTCAAAAAAGACAAAAACAACTCTTCATTTTTTTAAAAAGACAAAGTTGTCATACCTGAGTTGCAATTCCAGCATGGTCACATCCAGGCACCCACAGAACTCTGTGACCCTGCATCCTTCTCCTAGCAAATGGCAAAATGAAAGCTTTTCAAAAATACTTTTGACTAAATGTTAAGCATCAGATTGTTGATGAAGCCTGTTGTTGACCGTTACCATCGGACCAGAGCGTCCTGCACAGCTACAGTTAGAGCATGGCCCAGATGAAGAGTACCGGTCACGTTTGGCGGAGGAATACACAAAGAAAACGTCTGATCCACACGATGAGGCAATCGCTCCTGACCAAATTAAATACATCATAGACAGAAATCAACAGCAAATATTAATGAATGTATTGACAGGCAGAAATCCAAAACTCCAACATCACCAAAACACAAAGTTGGTTGGATCATTTGTTGCTGTGAGATGAGAATGAACAGCCTAAATTTATGATTGGCATGCGCTTCTTGGCAGAGTCTCTGTGGACACAATAAAGTCTTACTGGATAGATTTGGACACACGTGGACAAAACTGTCGGTACGCCTTGGTTAATGAAAGAAAACCCCAATGGTCTGAGGTAACAATGAATACACGTTTTATGAAAATGAACAAATGAAAGTCAGACATTGCTTTTCAAACATGCTTCAACAGAATTACGTTTAAAAAATAAACTCATGAAACCGGGCTGGACAAAAATGATGGCAACCCTGAAAATGATGTGACCAAAGGAACACGTTAAATCAAGACGTGTCCACAAATTAGCAGGTTTTTCTTTCATTAACCGAGGGGTGCCAACAATTCTGACCCTCTGCATACTCAAAAAAAAACAAAAAAAAAACAAGGTTGCACCTAAACTGTCACAATATCATTTAGACAGATTTGTAGTGTAAAGAAACAACAAGAATCTCAAGTTTAATCATGCTTGCCGATACCAAATAGTTTTTGTCATAAACAAGGAGTGAGTGTGAAAATTTGTTCCGTAACATGCTAACTATAAAACAGGCATCCTTGTGAGTGTTATGATGTAGGATTTTATTCCCAGACAGAAGAATATTGTGTGGTCATCCCATGTTGGCTCATACTTTGCCTGTCTGGCCAATATTTGGGAGGAAAACCAGATTTGCTTACACAACAGGTTGCCACAACAAACATGTCCAACTATTTTTCCTTTAGTTGCGCACATGAAAAATTGTACCGGAATTATGTTTCTCGTCCAAAAGTCACCAATTTACTTAACTGAATCAATATTTTTTATTATGTTAAGATTTCTCACATGTTGGTCAGGATTGAAAAATCCCTCTTTCTCCCACCACTGATACCAGCAGGACTCCACATAATCTGGACTGTATGCAGACGGGAAAGGCAAGCTGGTATCTGAAAACAAGCGCATAAATTCCCAAATAACTGAACAAATTACAACATAAATCAATACCATGTGTGCATAAAGTCACCTTTCTTTGTCCCAGCAGGTGTTTGAGCCGTGTACGCTACTTTTGGTATTTCACTCCAGTTTAATGTTTGATCTCCAACTTTCTGAAAGCAAAAACATGTATTCAGCAGCCACTCTTCCTTCTGACATAAAGGTCATATTTTGGTAGCAATCATGCATCCATTAATTCATGCATGAGAAGTTCAACACAGGGGCCAAGGAGGGGCTAGTTCCCTTGTCGAACTGGCCCTTGCCTCAACACAGAAGACAATAAAGTCAGTTTGTTACATTAGATAGATAAATAGGATGGATAGATTCAGACAGACAGATAAAGTGAAAACACTTTATCTGTGAGAGAAAGCAGCTGATATCTTGCTCTAATTTAACTAATCACTATCAAGTGAAAATACTTTTATAAAGTAGTTTGTTTTTATGGTCTATATCTGTCAGTTTTTTGAGTACGTCAGTTTCACAATAGCACAATGCTACAATGACGTTCGAGAAGCAACAGTATTTTGAAGAGGGGCATAAAAGGCCATTTCTTGACAATTTGAAGTCTTATACATAGAAAGAAAATAATCAAGGCTGTGGCCATGCTTCCTACGAGTGTCTCAGTCTGACAGTGCTAGGTAGGGGCACTTTTGATTTCTCCTGATCTATGTTTTTTAATTTATGTGTGGCGCACACCTGGTTCTCATTGCCATTCATTACACCTGCCTTAAGTGAATAATTTAACCTTCAGTGAATTAAAAGTCCATACATTCACCTCTAACAAGCATCTCTTAACTAGAGAGTAGCTATCTCTGTACAGCTACCTCATGTTAGTGCCACTAAGGATGCTTCCACAAACTGTTAAATCATTGGGATGCAATTTGTCTATCAGCATTGACAAAATTTTATCTGTTGTGCATTTTATGCACTTAAAGTTAGTTTTCTGACTATTTAAAAATTTGATAGACTAGATAATATTTAGACTTCATCCCATGAAATGACACACTTTATAAAGTCTTTGCCTCTTAGTATGATTGTAAGCTTATTCTTTTGTATTTTGATATTTCCCCAATAAAATTGTACCTGAATAAGTTCATTTTTACTGAGTTGATTGATTGATTTGAAAAATCGAACATTTGTCTTATTAACCTTGATATCTGGTCTCTATTGTTTTGTTGCTTATTTATTTTATACATAATAATAATAATGTTGCAGAAACTCAGTCTGTGTGCTTGGTCTACTCGGCTTACATCATGTTGAGCTGACAGAATATTCTCTTCCCGTTCTTGCCTGCGTCTGCGTACGTAGTCTTGTGGCCGCAGCTGAGCAGAAGGGACAGGGCGGGACGGTTCTGGAGGCTTGCTGGACCACAGTCTGGCTACCAGCCTCGCCTTTGGACGATGCCCTTTCGTCCACATCCTCAGCTACGAAACACCCTTGGGATGAAAAATATAAAAGCACAACCTAATCAATTCTAACGTAAGTTTCAGTGTTTTCATTGTCCATGTGTTTAGTTAATATACACGGAATTAAAGTCACAAATTTAACTTCGTGATGCATGTATTTTCAAAGTGCATTATTTAACTTAGCTGACTTATTGTAATACCCCTTCAACCTCCTTCAAAAACGTCTGAAATAGTGGAGCTAAATATAAATAAATATCGTAAGGCTTCTTCTTCATACTTTTAATTGCAAATGTAATAAATACCCTCAAACTCTGTCAGTTGATACCACTGGATTCAGACTGACGGGCTGCAGCTTTAACCTGACGGACTGAAAGGAAGTCCGTCAGCTAATATCTTCCGCAGCTTCCGCCGCAAACCGGAATTGCCATTTTATTATTATTATTGTTGTTATTATTATTATTACTTCTTTATTTATTTCAGTAAAAAAACAACGACACATAATTGTTAACATATCACAAAATTTGGCAAGGGGAGCATTAATTAAAACATAGGAAGAAGAAAATAACAGCTACAATATTCTTGCACACAGAAAATAACAATACAAAGTGACATATGTGCCAGAGTCTCATGTTAAAGTAAATTAAAACAATAAATCCTCCAAAATTCCAAGTTGGGTGCAAGCCTATATGACTGTTAACTCTTGAAAAATAAAATTAAAGACTGTAATTCCAAACATAACGCATGGCTCCAAATAGACCTTTCTATTTTAGGACCAATTTACAAATCAAAAACGGAAAATTTGTCGAGATTAATATATTCAACTTGTAGCATTGCTGTTTCAAATAGATTAATTAAATCTATCAATCAAATGAATGAAGCCGGGATCAATACAGCACACTTAGCTTCAAAAAGAAGGGGTTATTTATCTTTGAAAAAAACACTTTTCCCTCTGAGTTGCAAACAAATGAAAAGGGTGAGTTTTAATATACAAAGAAATGAATGGCCCGTATTTCGAAAGGTAGAAAGTCTCCCGCTTGTCTTTGTTAATGTCAAGTTAATATATTTGCTGAGAATGACGTCGAGCTTCGCGTTGCGCTCCAGAAAACATCGAGACTAATATGAACAGCGCAATGAACTTGAAAACAGCCACGATTGAACGAGTCCGTAAAGTTGTGCAACTAAACGCCATTATAATAATTAATATTAAGATAAGTGTCACAAATCTGTACAGAAGGATATCCGAGTTGTGGAGCCGCAGCAGGAGCGCTATGCGCTCCGCTCTGACAACAAACGCAGGGCCGTTCAAGCGTATGTTGTGTACGCATCCACCTAAGAATGTAGCGCGTGTGCTCCTTCCTTTTTTGGGGGGAGGGTCGAGGAGAAGGGGCGGTTATTGTGTTCGCGTCCACCTGAATAATATGTGGTTGCGACCCTGCCCACACACGCATTAGTATTATTTTAATCAGACTGGTTTGCTTGACGCTTAGACGTCAGCACGACGCCTTGCCATTAGCCAGATTACATCTAAATAATATTACATTGTTTAGGTTAACCCAAATGAAAAATTAGTGTACTATGTTAAATTTTAACATACTTAAGCATACTTTTAGTAGGACTAATCATGAGTGTATTTCAAGTATACTTAGAATTAGTATACTTAAAGTGTGACTTTTTTGAAATTCTAATTTGGTGCTTAGTGTATTTAAGTAGTATTTAAGTAGTACTTAAGCACTATTTAAAGTGTGCTAAGCATACTTCAATGTACTTTTTTGGACAAACTTAAGTAGTACTTAGTGTACTTATTTTTATGTACCAAAACGTGCTTGATTAGTATATTTAGAGTGCACTATTTTAGTGATTGAATTACATTTAACATACTTAGATTGTATTTTAAGTATATTCTAAATACATATTTAATGTGTAGTGTGATTACAGTATGATACACATATACTTTTGGTTTAATCACTAATGAAGTAACTTTTTTGTTACGGTACTTAATGGCTTTTATTATTATTCTTTGCCACTTTGTACATTACATGGTTCATACACACATCAGTACTGCAAACACATCAGGTTACCAGAACAAAGAAGGATCCATTACAACACACTTTACAAAGGTGAAACTAATTACATTGTGCTTTCAATATATTACCATTTTGGTAACACTTTATTTGATGGGATGTGCATAATAAGACTGACATCACAGTGTCATAAACATAAAACCTTTCATCCATAAAGCATTTTCTCATTAAAATTGTCATTATTTACTGAATGACACTTCATGACACTGTTGGTGTATACCGTCACGATAACAAATTTTGCAGAGCGATAAATTGTCTCAAAAATTATTGCGATGTAGATGGTTAAGCATTACATCCTAAATCGTCTTGCCATACACGCTGTGTGTCGCTAAGTGAGTGTTTCTTTGTGGTTGGATGTTGACTGTTGCCAGCTTTCAACAAACTAGGAAGTGGCGGCTCTTGTGTTCCGTACAGAGAAGCAAAGTCCGTGACTCCGGTGAACACGGTAAGGTGGGCAGAATAAACGTGGTGTTGGGGTGAAAACTGTCCTGGGAAGAATACGGAGAACTGATGGGTCAGTCCTGCTTTAATGTGGTTTAGCTAGCTGCTGTTTGAACCTGGAACTTGACGGAAGCCGACATTGTTCTTAGTATCGATAAAAGCAACGCAGAGATGTTGTTCCTGAATCTATATCTTACTCTGGTTTTATCTGTATTTAATGACAGATCGGATCATTTGTAAAGATGGGTCATGCAGGGATATTTGGCTTTCTGTTCAACACACAGCAGCCACGTCTGAACATCCGCGACGAGCGGCGAAGATGATGGTTAATAACTAGAGAAGCTGAAGAGCACAGTCGGTTCTTTTGTATCTGAAGATTGTGTTTCTAGATGAAGGCTTCAAGCTTTTTCACTCGAACCTCACGCAACACCTGCAGCTTTCATCGCGCCTGTCGCTACGGAACTTCAAGAGTTAAACCATGACTCATTTCTCCTGAGAATTGACTTTCCTTTTCCCGTCATTTCCTGAGTATCACTAGTAGAAACTAATTGGCCCAGGCTTGATGAACACTGGAGATTAAATGGAGAGTTTCCCAGGGCAGCAATAGGAAGGAGAAGCACGAAGACAAGATTAAAACATAACATTTATCTGAGTTGCACTCTGAATGAGTTTCCTCAGGCGAATACAACAAAGTTGCTCAGTTGTTGTTTGTTCATTACTCCAGACATTTGCAATAGTTCTGATGTTTTAATTTTGTTGTTTTTTAAGTAGCCTGTTTTTATTCTGTATGTTTTAATTAGTACAGCAGAAACGCTGCCAGCAAAACAGATCCTCACTGTGATGCAGTACACTAGTTCAAAGCTCTATATTGACTCCACCTGCAAACTGAGGCTTCTGAGACGCTTGTGTTAATTTATCCACATGGGATAGAGGCTGGAAAAAGGAGACCATTATTTTGAACTCTATTAAAATCAGAGTTCAAAAAGCAGCATTCCACAGAACAGTGCAACCATCTCGATAACAGATGAAATTTAAACTGTCGTTTCAAATTCACCAATAATAAATGAAAAGTTAGTGCATTTTTGAAAAGGCTGATTATTAAGAGTAAACCTGAATCAGAGCAATAAAACCTGTTTTGCGGCATACAGTCATCTACATTTGATTTTTGATTTAAGGATTACAGATTATTTTATGTAAAGTATATTTACCCTAGCCCAGCATGGAGACCTTTCTAGACCTTTGTCTCGTTTAAGATCCTGCCTTTCTTGATTTTATTGATTCTGTCATTTCTCCCACCTATTCACTCGTCTGCCTCCTCCACCTCCACTTGCAGGTGTCAGCCATGTGTCCTCCAGACGTCCATGTCCCCGTCGGTCTGCTGTGAAGAGGAAGATGACTAATTTCATCTTGATGAGTTTGAGGCCGCTTGGAATGCTGAACTTATTTCACCAAATCCTACCCTGAAACTCACTGTTTTTTTTTTTTTCGCATCATGGCTCCTGTTCCTCCAGGGATCCATCTGCTGGTGTCCTTCAACAGGGAACAATGGTAGGTCTGCATCCGTCCTTCCATCTGTTCATCCACTCCTTTGTCCCTGCATCCCTCCGTTAGCTTTTTTTGCAGGTGATTTGACCAGCAGTCATTGACCAGAGGTCAATGACAGGGCTACACACACACTCACACACTCATGCCTATTGGCAAATTAGTACATTCAGTCAACCTGACAAGTTGACAGTCAACATGATGTCAACATCATGTGGGATGCTTACATCCCACATGTGGGAGGACGGAGGAAGGAGGAGTACCTGGGAAGATCCCACACAGGCACAGGGAGAACAGGCAGACTCATGAAGGTCTTTTTCCTGATGAGAGCCGTGGAGGTAGCTGCTTCCTCTCCTGACTTTCAGCTCAAACCCAGGCATCCTTCACCTCTTTAGTTTCATGCATTCGACCAGCCGGTTTCAGATGTTGGGAAGTCGGATCATATTCCCACAGTCCAGGTTTCTGTGTTGGGATATGGATCTCCTTCCTGTTGCTAGCATGAGGAGGAGAGGAAATGCTGTGGATTTATGACGCTGTGTTTCTCCTGCAGGTACCGAGGTCTTACCTTCATGCTGACCTTCCTGCTCTACACTAGCTTTCACCTTTCCAGGAAACCCATCAGTATCGTAAAGGTAACGTCTGTGTGTGAACTTCTAATCTCATCAAAACCTGACGGCTAGGAAGAAATTAGCTTTCACATTTCAGACTGCTGGATTATAAGAAGGTTGTTTGCTTTAAATACGAAACAAAGAAACAGAGATAAAACAAGTAGGGGAGGCAGTTTCTTTGAAAATGACATCTGAACTCAAACAAGCTGCTGATTGTCCCGAGCTCAAGAACGCGGCCCAAGCAAAACCCAGAACAGAACCAGAAGTGTCAAAAGTAGCACAGTGTTGACTCGTCCTGTTGGTTATCTCTGAGCTTTGTTTAAACATCCTTGATGTGAGTTTTTCCAGCAGGTTGATGGGAACGTTGCTGCATGATCTGTTTTTTAAATGCCACCCATCCCCACTCCTCTAAGACAAGGACATTATTCCCCTTGAAGACGATCTAACTCCAGCCTGTCCAGCTGAAGGACCCGGTCATTTCCTCCTCCACCAGGATGAGCAGAAGACCCTGCCAGTGGGATATAGTGCTACATCCAATGACGCTGGAATCTATCAATCACTTGACTGACTGATCGATTGACCAGGCTGTGGACCTGGGCTCGCAGCCACATCAGGCTGTGATCATGAACAACGATCCCATCATCAAACATGTCTAGATTTCTGATAGCGATGGCGTCTTCTGGCTCGTTCTGCTCAGCAATCCTGCCATGATGGAAGCCATTTTGATGTTGCCATTAGGGGGTCATGTTTATCTGAAGTCTGGCTGAAAACCAGATTTCTATTCAGGTTTTGACTTATTGATGCTAATAGTCTTGAACAGACTCTTTCAGCGTAAAGTTTTTCATTTTTTCCTCCTGATTACGGCAAAAGACTAACAAGACAAAATCTGAAGCTGCTCTTTAGGCATAGAACCTTAGGGAAATGAATGCCATGTCTGTATGGAGCTTGATATTGAACAGTTCTTGATGGTATTTTCTTCATTTTTGCCAGAGCGAGCTTCATAAGAACTGCTCAACAGCCAGTGAGCTGGCAGCCGCCAGCGGCGCTGTGGCCAGCGGTGGAGGCCAGGAAGCCTCTTTCCCTTCACCCCACACTGAGACGCAGTGCAGCTGGAAGCCTTTTGGTATTTATCTGTATTGAGACTATTCTAGGGGTGCATCGATAAATTGGCCAAGATTTCCTATGTTTATCCGTTATTCCTATATTTGCTGTAGAGCTTATCTACCACAGCAAATATCTAAAAATCAAATACCCTCCTCAATCACCATTGTCGCCCCACTGTTGCCAACTCAGCAACTTTCTTGCTATATTTAGCAACATTTCAGACAGTGTAAGTATCACCCAAAATCCAAAACACCTGGGGCCTCATGTATAAAGCTCCGTATGCACAAGAAATGTGCGGTGCCATATTTTATGCACAAGTCGGCATGTATAGAAATAAACATGGTGTGACCTGCTGTGAAAATGTGCAGCAGCTACGCAAACTTTTTCTGTGGACAATAACAAACTACAAAGCGTCAAAACTCGCCTAAACACTGAAATCTGAGGGAGCGATTGATCATATTGATCTCCTGGGAAATGTTATTGCTGGTTTGTTGCCCAGACTGATCATCCTGGAGCTCTGAGCAAAACTTAAAGAAGGAGCCGTGCGGTACCGGTACCGGTCCAGCTGCAGTCATCCTTCAGTCGCCTTTATGGACAAAAAGCGTCTTCATTCTGTTAATGTGCAACTTCTGCACATGATTTCTCTATTCATAATAAACGTCCACATTCGCCACTCAAAGACTCTCTGACTGTCTATAAATCCCGGCTGAACGCTCTGCTGTTCAGGCATTTGCACAATCTCTATATTTTTTTCTTTTCTTAATTTAGATTTTTTTCTTAAAATTTATCTTCATTTTTGTTTGGAGACTTTATGTGCCCTCAAAGCACTTTAAAAAATATATAATTATTATTATTATAAATACTTATACTGGTACAAACAAGGACGTTGCCATGGTTACTGCCCCCACATAGTGGCAGATTTGGGCATTTATAATAATTTACATAATGTATTTATGGGTGGCGACAGGGTGGACCAGCAGCTGTGCTCTATTTCCCGCATATTAGGATTTATAAAGGAAAGGTGTGCAGGTTCGGTTTTATACATCCATATATTTTTGTGCGCCGCACTTTTCTAAATTTGTCCATACGCCAAGTTTTAGTGTGAAAACTGCTCACTCGTCTATACATGAGGCCCCAGGTCATGCTGTGTAAAGATCGGTGATCAGTGATTGGTCAGAAAACTGCAATCGGGGTACCCTAGATTATTTTTTACGTTTTTCATGTTGGACATTTTTCCACCTCTGTTTAAACAGTGAGGCTAGTCAGAATAAACTCCTTTTCACAGAGTCAATGTGACTGAAATAGTTAATTGGAGAAAAATTGATTTTTATTGTCCTTTCTTGTAAAATAATTTGTTCAAAGTTTTATGGACATATTCTGTTTTAGAAGTAGCTGTGATGTTTTCAGGAATACTCACAGTTGTAATCTACAGTTAGATTGTCTGGGAAATGAGAGGACTGGTGAGATATCCAGTAGGAGACGGAGATGTTTGCTTGATCAACTTATATGTTGGTCAGTCTTTAGCTGCTCAATAAACCCATTTGGGAATTTATTAAACTGAAAGAAATCCAGGTTATGCTTTTGATGGATCACACTGCACTTTGAAATGCAGGCTATCTTCCTGAAAGCTAAAAAGGTCAATTACTGTACACTTGAACTCAAACAATCCATTAAACCTGTTGCCACAGCAACGGTGAGCTGTCAGTATATTTTTTGTGATGTATATAACGTGTCTCTCTTGTAAACGAGACGATGAGACTCAAGATTCTTCCTGTATAAATAAATAATTGTATAAAGTACTTGGCAGCTCTTGTGGATTTAGTGCTTTTTGCTTTATTTCCAAAAGTTGTTGCCTCAAACTAAACAGAAAAGCATAAGCAGGGCAGTCAAGTTGGAAAGAACCCTCATCAGTAAAACAGTAATAAACTGCCAGCTGCATAATCTTTGTTTAGTAATTAATATTTGAATTTTAGATAAAAGCAACTACAAGCAGCTGCTAGGAGCCATGGACTACTCTTTTCTCTGTGCCTATGCCATTGGGATGTACCTCAGGTGAGACATCAGTATGATTGAGCTAGCATAAAACTAGCACAACGCTAACAAGCTAGCACAACGCTAACAAACTAGCACAAAGCTAGCATAAAACTAACATGAAGGGGAAGTTGATTTAGTAGATTTTGAATGGTGAGAAAGAGGTTTTAGTATCACATAAACACCAAACTATTAATTCTATTAATTAATTTATTTAAACACCAAACTATTAATTCTAGTTTGGTGTTTATGTGACACTAGATCGTCTAGAGTTCTACTGAAGTAATTATCAGATGAGGGAATCAAGCATGTGATCCCTTCTTCACAGTTTCTGAATTATTTTAGTGCAAAAACACAAAATTATCAACAGATACAACATGTTCTGTTTATTCTGTTTTACTTCAACGCACTTGAACATAAGCAAAATAAATTGGACAGAATCAGGATCCTCTTTATGAAAGTCATGAATGAAGCTTTTACGTCACAGATGAATGTGAGTTAGCATGTTGCTGCTGTTCCCCCTGTGCAGCGGCATCATTGGGGAGCGCCTGCCTATCCGGCTGTATCTCACAGTGGGAATGCTGAGCAGTGGGCTTTTCACCTGCCTGTTTGGACTTGGTTACATTTACAACATTCACAGCCTCGGCTTCTATATATTTGTTCAGGTGAGACGCACACAACACCCATTTTAACCAGGCTGGTTGGGACTTCTCAGTCAGGACAGCTGTACTGAAAAAAAGAAAAAAAAAATCAGTGAAAAAATTGAGCTAATTTATTACAAATAATCAAATTAAATTCATGTTACAAGTTGCCTCAGTTTCTTGAAGTTGGAGCTCCGTTCTCTTTTTTCAGTGTAACTGCAGACACATTTACCTCTGATGTAGCTTTAGTTGATATGTGTACAGGAAGTTGACGTGGCTCTCTGTTTGTTTTTCTAGGTGGCCAATGGTTTGGTTCAAACTACTGGTTGGCCCAGTGTGGTGACCTGCATTGGCAACTGGTTTGGAAAAGGAAGGTAAGGCAGAATAATTCACAGCTTTCATGTAAAGCTGAATGGAGCTGATGTAGGCGTAGTGATGAAACCTTGTGGCGTTGGCAGGCGTGGGCTCATCATGGGACTTTGGAACTCCCACACCTCAGTGGGGAACATCCTGGGCTCTCTGATCGCTGGGTACTGGGTCTCCTCTAACTGGGGCCTTTCCTTCATTGTACCAGGCCTCATCATCGCAGCCATGGGAGTCGTTTGTTTCCTTTTCCTTATTGAACGTAAGTCTAAAAGTCATTAAAGTCATAATAATCATAATTATGTAAAGAGCGTAACGTCGATCTGTGAAAACATATCAGAGTTTTTACAGGGTTCAAAATGTCTACTTTAGTTTTTTTTTTTTTTTAGGTGAATATGTTCACACCAATAATAATAATAAAACTAAATAATAACTTCTAATATAAGTGTAGGGGAATAAACACAAAGGTTGTTAGAAGATGCATTGTTTTCACAAAATAACTTCTAAAGCTTACTTTAGTCATCGGTCAGAGGTTTCACTGTTTGACTCCAGCCTGATATGCTCGTGTCAGAGACTTTACCTTGCAGACTTGCTGAAGGAGCAATCATTTCAAAATGAAAGCACTGAGTAAGGCTGATGGATTTTCTCACTCTTCATTTCACCTAACCGGTTTCCATTCCTCAGATCCGAATGACTTGAAAGGCGTATGTACTCAGAACCCGTCTCCTGGCAGCAGCGTGAGTAAAGGACATTTGTTTTATCCTTCCTGTGTGTGTTTACCTGTTTCATATAGTAAATCTGTCTTTATTTAGGTCTCAGCCAAAAGCTGGAGTGGAGCAAATGGACATCCGAAAGTATATTTGCAATACAAGGATAACAAAAAGCAGGTGTGCATCTCTCTGGATGAATATGTCATTACGTTAGATGCTGTAATGTAAAGACTTTGCTCTGTGAACTCCTGACACGGACCTGGTTACATATTTGACCATATACATTTTTTAAACACAGAAGTCCATCTAAAGCCTTATCTTGCAGAGAGGATGTAACAGAGCTGAAGGTTTGGAGAGGTCGGCTGCAGTTATACGTCTGGCTATTTTATCTTAAGAAGCCATTTCCTTACCGTTTTAAACCACCAGGACGTCATAATTTGTCGTGTTTCATGTGTAGTGAAATATGACAAATTAATTTTGAGCTGGTATGTCGAAGTGAAAATCAAAACAATAAATGATAAAATGGCTCTTAAATAAAATGCTAGAAAAAATAAGAAGCTACGATTCAGTGACTACTAAATCATAATCCTTTGAACAAACTTGATGATACTTGCATAAGTTACATTTATTTTCCTTTAATCAAAGTATTTCTGAATTGAACGCAATGTTTCCTTCATATTGTGTTTTAGGCCTACAACTTTTTTAAGGAATGTCTTCAAAATAGGAAGGTCAGTTCTGTTAGTGATCTCCAGCTTCACTGGTAATCATGTTTTAGGCTGAATCTAAATGTTCACGTCTTTGTGAACAACAACATGTTCAATCGTGTTGACTTTGAATACAAATTCAGGTTTTTGGCTCTGAATAATTTGGCTGTGCAGTTGTGCTAAATGAGGGATTTGTTGTTCCAGGGCATCAACATTTAGACTCAGCCCAGAGGTGTCTGGAAATCACTGGGTCAGGATTTAACCCATTCACATTTCTTATTACTTTGATTTGGTTTTGATTTCAGTTTTTATCACATTTATGCACAGCTAGTATAAGGTTTAATGCTGTAATGCATTTTAATGTAATGATCTTGTTTTTGGTCTGTTATCTCCTATAAAAATATCTTTGCAGACCCAACTTTTACTGCCATTTTCTTGAAAGATAAGACTTTTTAGTCAGTTTATTAAACTAAGTCATATATTCTTAGTCTTTTGACAGTTAGTTTTCCTGCAGCTATCATGTTTAGGCTAACACTTTATTTGACGGGGTGTGCATAAGACTGTCATAAATGTGACATAACGCCTGTCATGAACATGAAGGAGTCTTTATGAATGTTTATGACTGTTGCCATGAAGGGTCATTCAGTAAATTATGACACTTTTAATGCAAAGTTGACACATTTAATGGACTCTTAATGCAACTTTGCATTAAAACTTTCACCGTTGTTCCATATGTGTTCATGTCATATCAGTCTTATGCACACCCCTTCATGTAAAGTGTTACCATGTTGAGCTGTTAAATGGGATATGGTCGTTTTTCAGGCAATGAAATAGATATAATATCCGGAAATATTGATAATTTTATTGATGAGGACCAGAAGATTTACTTTTTCTTTATTCTGAGCTTGAACTGAAATCTGGTGAGGAGTTTCTCTTTACTGTCACTGTCTTGCTGCATGCTGCTGCTTGTTAAATTAGGCTTTCTATTTGATGAGATTTGACTGAATGTTCTCCAAAATCAGAAGATCAAAAGCTGAGTGGGACTTTTTTATTTTTTTTTTTTTTTTTACTCCATTCATTTTTTAAATGTATCTTTCTCATCACAGTTTAATCACAGATATTTCTACAATTATTTGGTTGCTTTAAAAATATAAAATATAAATTTTCAAGCATCATAAATTCACTTTTTCTGCCTCTTGCGAATCTTGAAGTGACTCTGGGGTTAGAATACGGAGCTGTTAGGTGTTGGGTTGGTGTTGATGTCAGCCGGTTCCGCTGAGCTGCAGCTGATCTGTGGCCTTCCTGTTCCTGCCTCCGTCCTGCTGCAGAACTACGACACGGAGCTGCTGCTGCCCCGGGACGCTGTGTGTGTCCCTGCCCAGCCGGTCGTGGTGGTGAAGAGCGAGTCGGAGCCTTCTGCCATCAGCTTCATGGGAGCGCTGCGAATACCCGTCAGTTTACCGACACTCTGCTGGGCTTGCTGTCACGCCAGTCAGTTGTCGCTGTGATGTTGTGACATGCTGTTTGTTTCTGCAGGGAGTGGTGGAGTTTTCTCTCTGCCTGCTCTTTGCCAAGCTGGTCAGCTATACCTTCCTTTTCTGGCTGCCCCTCTACATCACCAAAGCAGGTGGGTAAACAACCTGCCAGCCTCGTTCAGCAATTTCCTCCTCAAGATTTTTGCCTCATTTCAGTTTGCTTGAAACGAGTAAACTTGTACACGTGGAGCATACATGTAATGTTCCATGTGTGTAAAATGACTTTGAAGAACCACATCTGTGGAAACAGTTTTACCAAACAGATTTCAGTGAACGGTTCCCTCCTCAGGCGCGTTGTATGCTCTGTGGAAAAAAGATAGTCTGTTATTGAATAACCTCGAGATAAAATAAAATGCCTTAAGACATGCCGTTTTGAATCTGCACTTTATAAATTAACTGAATTGTGCTGAAACCCCTTTATTCTGGCGAGAGGAATGTGACAGAACTGATGGTTGTTGTTTCTTGTTCAGCTCACTTGGATGCAAAGAAAGCTGGAGATCTCTCCACCTTGTTTGATGTTGGAGGAATTGTGGGTCAGTGATTTTTTATTTTATTTAAAAAAAATTTTATCCAACCATTAAAAGTATTGGTCTTATGTTTTTCATTGAGTACAATTAGTTTTTGTTTTTTCCAATTACTGATGGAATCTGAGGCTTTTTGTCCTTATTGCTTTTTTTGTGTAAATAGAAAATTAGCTTCAGTTTATTTTGCAGGAATTAGCATGAATGTTTTCCTGATGTAACGGCATAAATGGACTCTGTGCGTGTGTGTGGGTGTGTGTGTGTGTGTGTG